ATCAATGATGAATCTGGATACTGATTTCTGGAAGTTTCCACTTCCATGTATAGAAAGAGAGAAGAAATGCCTCTCAAAAGACACCAGCTTTCAGGTCTACTATCAGGGTATCAGAGCCAGCCTGCAGAGCACTGCCTCTTACCTCTCAGGAGGCCTGCTGGTGTGCACTGCTGGTGTGCACTGTTGGTGTGCACTGCTGGTGTGCACTGCCTCTCACCCTATCAGGAGGCCTGCTGGTATGCACTGTTGGTGTGTACTGTTGGTGTGCACTGTGTGTGTGCACTGCCTCTCGCCCTACAAGGAGGCCGGCTGGTTGTGCGCTGCCGGCGTACACTGCTGGTGTGTACTGCTGGTGTCTTTTGGTGTAAATGTGAGTAACTTGAGCTGTCAACACCCAGCTCTTGAAAATCCCGTTTTGCCTTTTTTCTCCTCAGCTGAAAATGTAGCCAAAAAATGGCAAGTGAGCAGAGAAGCTCAGGACAAGGTTGCAGTTCTGTCCCAGAACAGGGCGGAGCATGCACAGAAAGCTGGCCACTTTGACAAGGAGATCGTGCCAGTGCTGGTGTCTTCCAGGAAAGGTGAGTATGGAGACCACAGTACACATGAGCCTGTTTGTAGGCGTGACTGACACCCGAGGGCGGTATGGAGGGCTGTTTGTGAACTTTGGGCTTTACAAGTTGTAGAGGTGTAGGCTTCACACATCGGCATGTGAGAGAGTTGATGGTGATGTGTTTTGAGACATGGTGCAGCTGTGTAGCCCTGGGTGGACTTGAGTTCATTCTGTGGACCAAGCTGGCCTCCCCTGCTTCTGCCTGCTGAGTGCTGGGATAACAGGTGCACCACCACACCTGGCTGGAAAGTGCTGTCTACACGGGATATGGACACATGGGAAACTGTCATCTTCAAACTGTTCACGGCTGCAGTGTGTATGCAGTGGGCTCCATGAGAAGTGGAGCATCGGTCTGTGGTCGTTAGGGGACACAACTCTTCTACACAGTCTAAGTAAAGCCTTTCCAGTTGCTCCCATGTGCTTCTCACATCCCCATCTGCAGAGGACATATCAAGTTAGGACAGTTCCCTTATCCATAACCGACATTCATACTCAGCTCATGGAAGATGGATTGTCCCAGTCCTGAGCCACTCAGCTGTAGCCAGCTGAATGCTGTGATTCAAGCCTGTTGTCTGAGTTTTCTGTCCTGCCCAGTTTCCGCAGTTGTTATTTTCCAAAGAAATCAAACAGAGGCCTACATTAACTATAAACTGATTGCTCATTAGCTCAGGCTTCTTATTAACTCTTATAATTTATATTAGCCCATTATTCTTTTTTTTTTTTTTTTTCAAGACAGGGTTTCTCTGTGGCTTTGGAGCCTGTCATGGAACTAGCTCTGTAGACCAGGCTGGTCTCAAACTCACAGAGATCTGCCTGCCACTGCAGCCTCAGTGCTGGGATTAAAGGCGTGCGCCACCATCGCCCGGCTTAGCCCATTATTCTTGTCTATGTTAGTTACATGGCTTGTTACCTTTTTTGGAGAGGCAGTTACATCTTGCTTGCTTTGTTCTGTGGCCAGGTCAGGACTGCAGAGGAATTGGCTTTCCTCTTTCCCAGCATCCTGTTCTCATCGACCCACTTCTACTTCCTGTCTGGTTGTTCCATCTATACGTCCTGCCTGGTTACTGGCCAATCAGCGCTTATTTAAAATATGACTGACAGAATACAGACCATTGTCCCACACAAACCCATGTGCATACAATACAAATGACCTCTGTCCTTAGGAAGGGCTGTGGATTTGGAACACAGCAAGACTGTCTCATGAAGAGTTCTCATGGGGGGTAGCATGCAGTAATTGTACTCATCCCAGGTAACTGGTTTTACTTTTTGCAGGTTTTACCGAAGTGAAAATTGATGAGTTTCCTCGCCATGGGAGTAACATGGAAGCCATGGGCAAGCTGAAACCTTACTTTCTTACTGATGGGACGGGAACAGTCACATCTGCCAATGCAACAGGTTCGATTTCTGAAGGACATTGTGGGAAGAACCAACTTTGGCAGGTCTACCAAGTAAATCTTTCTACACAAAATACCTAAAGCTGAGTTTAGAGAAAGTTTATCCCTTCTATATTGTTGGTTATTAATCTATTCTGCAGTGACTTGCTTTTATGACATCTAGTCTAGACATACAAGTGAAAAGAGTAAAATTAAGAGCTCCAGAGTAGTTGGGCATGGTGGCGCACACCTTTAATCCCAGTTCCCGGGAAGCAGAGGCAGGCAGATCTTTGCAAGTTCAAGCCCAGCCTGGTCTACAAAGCGAGTTCCAGGACAGCCAGGACTGTTAACACAGAGAAACCCTGTCTGGACACCATCTCCCCTGACCACTACCCTCTCCCACCCAAAGAAAAGAAAGAACTCCTGTTTCTCAGGCCTTCACTTCTAGCTCTTAGGTGGCAAAGGCAGGCAGAGCTCTGTGGTTTCAAGGTCACCCTGGTCTACATACATTCTAGGCTAGCTTGGGTTATGTGGTGAGACCCCATCTGAAAACAAAACCCTCCTATGTTATGTTCATCCACTACATACTTTTCCAGTTTCAGAAAGCCCCAGCACCTGGAATGCTTTGGGTGTCTCTTCTGTTTCGTTTCATCTTTGACCCCCTCTTCTCTATAGCTATTGGGGGCATCTAATCATGTATGGTCAACATCATATTCCAAACCTGACCATTTCAAAGTACACTGTGCGGTCTGATGAATCACAGGCAAGGGCTTTGCCAACCTGTCAGTAGCTTGATGCTTTCAGGTGGAAAAGGTGGTGGCCTGGGTACATACCTGACGAAGAGCACTGTAGAAACCAAGTCACTTGTTCACAGGGATGAATGATGGTGCCGCGGCTGTGGTTCTTATGAAGAAGACAGAAGCCGAGAGTCGAAGGCTGAAACCTTTAGCAAGAATAGTTTCCTGGTCACAAGCTGGCGTGGAGCCTTGCGTTATGGGAGTAGGACCAATTCCAGCCATAAAGCAAGCTGTGAGTCTCTTTGGTAATGTACTTGGCACATATACGACAGGGTTTGAAGAAACCTGGTTTTAGACTGCGTAGCAAGAGGTTGGTCTTGAACTTCTGCTCCTCCAGCTAGTAGCTTTCTAAATGCTAGGGTTACAGGTATGCATCAGTAGTGACCTTAACTAAAATCTTTACTTTTCTGTGTACCAATGTACCTGGTGCCAAGTGTGCAGCTCTGTTGTCAGCTCCCCTTTCCACTCTCGAATGTTCTGCGGTGCTTTCACTTGGTTTATGCTACCAGGTTTCATTTGCAGCACGTTAATCCTAAAACCTGCCCACCCTAGCCTCTTCAGCAATGGGAGTACAAGTGCATGTCTCCACTAGCTCTGTAGACCAGGCTGGCTTCAAATTCAGAGATCTGCCTCCTATTAAAGGCGTGCATCACCACCGCCTGGCAGCCTTTCTTAAAACGTGGGTTCTGGGGGTTAAAACTTAAAACTCAGATGCTATTCAAAGAACTTCACCTGCAGGCACTTTGCCAGTTCAAACTCTTTAGTTAAAAAACAAACAAACAAAAAAACACTAGTCTCAAGTACTGGATTATGCTCTGGGTTTTTTTTTTTTTTGGTTTTTCGAGACAGGGTTTCTCTGTAGCTTTGGAGCCTGTCCTGGCACTAGCTCTTGTAGACCAGGCTGGTCTCGAACTCCCAGAGATCCGCCTGCCTCTGCCTCCCGAGTGCTGGGATTAAAGGCGTGCGCCACCACCGCCCGGCTGGGGTTTTATTTTTTAAGGCTGTTTCTCTGTAGCTTTTTAAGCCCCCTGGAATTTACTCTGTAGAAGACGATGGCCTCGAACTAACAGATCTACCTGTCTCTGGCTCCCAAGTGCTGGGGTTAAAGGCATGCATCACCACCACCCAGCTAAATTTTATTTATGTATTTTTGTGTATTTATGTACTGTTTAACATGTTTTGTGTGCACATATGCCCAAATGCATCAGATCTCATTATAGATGGTTATAAGCTACCATGTGGTTACTGGGAACTAAACTCAGGATCTGTAACCACTGAGCCATCTTTCCAGCCTGGACTTTTGGTTTTGAGGGTGGGTCTATACAACCCAACCTGGTCTCAAATTTAATTGTCCTGTCTCAGCCTCTTAAGTGCCTACACTACAAGTAGGCCACCCTACCTAGAGTAACTTCCACAATGTGGTGTTGTCATTAAAGTTCATCATAGTGCTCTTTTGGGAACATTATTTAGCCCGGTGTTCACCTTTTAAACCCTTAGGACAGTCAGAGGCCACCATGGCACACCTAACTGCATAGTTCCCAGAGTCCCATGCATCATGAATTTGTTAATAACAAATGATTTAACTTCAGTTCATTTTCTTCCTGTAGGTTGCAAAAGCAGGCTGGACCCTGGAAGATGTTGATGTGTTTGAAATCAATGAAGCCTATGCAGCTCTTTCTGTTGCAATAGCTAAAGAACTCGGACTAAACCCCGAGAAGGTAACCAACACAAGCTTTGCTGTTTGCTAATGAACTTGCAGTCCAAGTTTAAGGCTGCTTCTGCCCAGTGTTGTTGACTTGTTTTCACAGTGAGGGCGTCAGCAGTATTTACTAAGCTTGACAGTGGGAGTTCAAAGGGTGGTTTGCTAGCATAACCCTGAGACGACAAAGATAAACGGGGGTGTTAGCTTGTGTCCAAAGACTGACTTGATCTTCTCCCCCTCCTGTAGGTCAACATCGATGGAGGAGCCATTGCCTTGGGCCATCCTCTGGGAGCATCCGGCTGTAGGATTCTAGTGACCTTGTTACACAGCCTTGAGAGAATGGGCGGGACTCGTGGTGTGGCAGCCCTGTGCATTGGGGGTGGGATGGGGATAGCAATGTGTGTTCAGAGAGGGTGACCTGCCTGACAGCCACCACCCCTGAACACTTCTTGCTAAATCAGTGAAACACTATAGTATGTGAAATCAGAGGACCAAAGTGAGGACAGGAAGCCAGGTGGTCAGCTTGCTGTACTTTAATGAGACACCCAAGGCTAAGACATGGCGTCTGACACTGCTATAAATAAAAGGGAAATCCAACCAATCAGTCATCAAGGGCTCCAGAGTGAACGGCATTTTCGTAACTTCCATGTTTATCCTCTTTGCTTTCTGGGTGCAATTTTATCAGATCATCGATTCGAAGAATGGTGATCGCAGCTTCTGTTGCAAACTTCAGGCTCTTCACTTTAACTATGGTTGGTTCAAAAACCCCCGCTTGCTTGTTGTCTCGAGGTTTCCCATTGATCAAATCAAGGCCAATCCTGTCATGGTGAAAATGTGATTCAATGACCTCTTCCAAGCTGAAGTGGTGTGTTCCAGCTATTCTGGTCCACAAGATTGGGATTCTAACAATTCTATCTCTGGGAGTAGAAAAGCTCGTAGTGTAGCAGAGAAACCTCATCTGCCAAACATTTAGCACAGTCACATGTTGCACACTGGTAAGATTATGTTCAAGTAGTGCGTACAGTTTGGTAGTCAAAAGATTCTTTTGCCTAGTGACAGCACAGCTGTCTGGCTTGATGTTGAGTATGTTTTATGTCCTCAGAAGGACCAAATCATCTAAAGACACTCTTCTGAGACTGCACTCACTGTAAGCTGAGGGGCTGCCTGAAAAGGTGAGAATAACCTAAGGTCACCCTCTTGGACTTCCTCCAGACTACCCAGGGAGTGGGGTCCAGAGACGATACCTAAAAGCAACAGTGCTAAAAATCAGCAGCCACCATTACACATACAGGCACCAATCAACAATGATGCCTGTAAAGTTTCAGTATGTGACAAGTCCCTTCAAGTGCTTAACTTAAAACAGACCCACGACACTCGACAACAGAACACAGGAAATTGTAAACTCACCACTTTAGATTTTTACGTTCTGGGTTAACTTGAGCCTCATTGTGAAAAGCTCTTAGCTTGGCAACCAGGTCGGTGGAGTCTTGGGCAGCATTCACTGCCAGTGTATTAGGAATAACAAGAAGCGATCTTGCAAACTCTGCAATAGCAAGCTGTTCCC